AATTCCTTGTGTGTCCAATCACACTTGGCCAATAAAGAACTCCTATTCTATTCTATTCTATTCTATTCTATTCTATTCTATTCTATTCTTATTCTATTCATTCTATTCTATTCTTTCTATTCTATCTATTCTATTCTATTCTATTCTATTCTATTCTATTCTATTCATGAGCCATTTAAGCAGGTGTTGAAACACCTGAATTGTTTTTCAGTTGAATGAAGGCAAATATACATGTCCTAGGATAATGTTGTAGGATCTAATCTGGATCGGTCACCAAGATCAGAGGTTTAGTCTTCCAAGCTTTCCAACTCTTGCTGGAGCCCATCCTCAGGGAACTTCTCTCTACTGGAATGTGCAGCATATTATTTTACCTCCTTTTAGCTTACCCAAATCTGGTTTGCATTTTGTTATCGCTTCCATTTTGAAGATAATCTAGGAATTCTTTCTGTTTCTACTCCTCTGAATAATTTAGTATCATCCATATACAGGCCTAACCATATTCACTCCAGCCTTAGAGTAAGGGATTTATGCAAATCCTTGCAGGCTTCATTTCTTACACACCTCCATTGTGTATGTCCATTGTTTATTCCAGTCCTGATTTTTAATCATCCCATAAAGGGGTTTTCCCGTTATTTCATCCCTCTAATTTTATTCCACTAAAACCAAATCTTATTCAAGTCAGACTTTCACAATGTTGTGGTTAAAGTCAAATACCACACTACTCTATGGTTTAATGATTTTTTTCTTATTAATTAGATTTGGGCTTATACAAGATACTAAGCCAGGAGTCATGCTTTTATAAACTACTGTGTTTAATCTCCTGCAATGGGCTATGCCAAAAGCAAGCTGATCTCTCTTGTGACATGGGACAGGATGTGAGCCTACTCTTTCCTATTAGATCACCTCTTCCTGCGTTTATCTCTTTTTGCTAAATTAGGAGGGCATCTTGAATACTTTGAATCTGGAGTCCTCAAAAAACCGACATGCCATTGAATCCAGCATCATGACCTACTTTTCCTCCTCTCCTCAAAGAGGCAAGAGACATAATCAAAAAATACACAAACAACGATGAAGTCAAAAAGTCAGCCTGCCTCCAAATGGCTCAGGGTACCGTAGACATTATGCCAACCATGACTGCTTAATCAAAATGTAGGATCCAAGACTCAGAGTGAGCTTCAAAACAACTTGACCTGTTTTTTGGTTTAGAATCACAACTTTCAGCTGAGGTCTGCTCACTACTGCATCGTATGTAAGTGGTGCAACCACAGTAATGATGATTTATCTCTTGAACTCTTCTGCCAAACCAAGTGAATCTTCCCCCAAAGCTTTGGATTTGTGTTGCCTCCTCCTTTGCGTCTTCTCATGTTTATACAAATTTTTATTCATGCAATCCATGTGGATATCTGGCTTTTTTCAAAAGTCTGTCAGTTTTTCCACATTGGTGTTTATGGGCCAATTTCCCCTCCCATTATTTTTTTCCAAAAAAAAGAGAATGAGAGAGAGCAGCACATTTTCTTCTGACTTTAGAACTGGCAGGATAGGGGTACTTTCTTTTCTCTGAAAACTTTCCAAGTTTTTTCTATTTTTTAAAAAATGTGTTTGTGTTTCTCCGTCTGGGTGCTTGGCTCAATGTTTGGTTCTCCTCCTACTGTCTTTGTGGCCTCTGCAATTTCTCTGATCACATGGGGAAGCATCTTTGATGTTTTCTTTTTCGGTCCTCTTGTTTCTATAAGGTCTTGGCTCCCCTTGAAAATGCTTTTGTGGCTGGAAGGGGCCACCAAAGTTTATTTACTTTTAATCACTGACCAGTAGGATTATTCATACCATATCGCTTTTGCATCATAAACCCTCAATGTATTTGTCTTCATTACCATTATGACAATAAATTAACAATATGTCCACGACTCACAGCATACCAGAATGCAAGAACAATTGATTAGAAAAGATAGTACATTTGTGTGTGTGTGTGTGTGTGTGTATGGAAAGTAGAAGAATTTATGTCCAATTGATAAACATACTGATCAGCAAAATCAAATTTGTTGTATCTTTCTTTAATGGTAGATAGGTAGTTAGGTATTAATTGTATCAATAGTATTAACTGTTGATAGAAGGCTATGAGCCATTACTGGATAACTACCAGAACTTCCTTGGGAAATTTAAAAGCCATTTTGGCAATCCCATTCAAAGGATCATAGCTGGTTAGAAGATTCAGAAATCCAAATAGGACAACAGGAGAATAAGATTGTTCATCGTAGATTTTTAAACTATTGCCCAGAGATGTCACATGGGGTGAGGTGGCCCTTATTGACCAGTTTAGTGAGGGGTTGAAGGATGACCTCTGAGATGAACTGATAGGACAAGCAACCCCAGTCACCTTGGATGAGTTGTATCAGCGTTGCATTGTAACTGATGCCTGACTAGAGGAACTGAAGCAGAATTGTGGTGTCAGAGGCAGATGTCTCTCTCGCATGGGTCTCTCTTTCCCTCTTGCCTTTTCATCCCCAGATCCAGAAATGGGGGAGCCAATGAAGATTAAAGTTGTCAAGATATTTGGATGAGAGTCAGGGATGATGAGATTTGGCTCTCTGTTTTTATTCTAGAGCCTCTGGGCATATTGTCAGAGAACGCCTGGCAAGAAACCCAACGGCAGGGGTTAGAGCATCAGAACAACTTGCCAGCAAACACCCACCTTTGTCCACAGTGCAAACCAGAGAAATTCTATCCATTCTTCATGAGAACTCACAAAAGGGCTCATCCAGCAGACAAGGAGAGCTCATGAAGAGAGAGTTTACTCTCTTATACTGAAAAAAGATACATGCTAATAATAATGAATTACCATAATTATAACTATCTTACCTCCAGGATCCTTCTCTTACGTAAAAGTCTGTAGAGATTCTCAGTCATCCAGGTCATGGTTGTCCCAAAGGTGCTTTTTCAGAAGGCAACTGAACTTGCTTGTTTTTTCTTTTGAAGACATTTTGCTTCTCACCCAAGAAGCTTCTTCAGTACATAAGAGAAGCTTCTTCTCTTACGGTATGTACTTAATTGCTGTCAAAAATACAGGAGGGCCAGATTCTTTGGGTACCTGAGTGTAGAGGTGCACTAAAAAAGCAGCAGGGCATCAGTTGCAGCCGCCATCTTGATTTATTTGCTTTGTCCTAAAGATGCCTCTGGGCCACAGTATTTTTAAACTGTTTTCCCTATTTTTCCCTAAATAGTTTCTTCTCCTGAACATTTAACTTAGGGGGAAAAAAATACATGTGTATTTTTGCTTTTTCTCATGTATACTTTTTCCCCACAACTCTATTTAAAATAAATGGCTATTTAATTTGTGAATGGTTTAAGTATATCTGGTGCATTAATCTCTCGGATGTTTGGTGTGTGTGTGTGTGTGTGTGTGTGTGTGTGTGTGTGTGTGTGTAGGTATATTGCAACAGATCTCTTGGGTCACTTGTATTTTTTATTTATATTTTAAAAGATGAACATTTTGGAATTTTCTGAATCCACACCAGTGATACTATTTAAATAATTGCATGCATTCTAAATAAATCTCATTATTATTACAGCTGGGTCCTAAAGCTGAAGTGACTGGTGTTCCAATTTCTCTTCTTACCGACCCTCTTTTAACTTTCTTACCTATCAATATGTCAGCATACCTGTTGTTGAGGTTGCTCCATTTTCTTTATAGCATTTATCTTTGGACTAAATAGTAAGGGCGAATATATTCCCTTGATCTCTCTCTCTAAGCTATGCTTCAAATATTTGCATGGTTGATTGCTCGACTTAAAAAATATTGTCAGAGAGCACCTGGCAAGAAACCCAACCGCAGGGATTAGAGCATCAGAACAACCTGCCAGCAAACACCAGCTTTCACCCTTCCAATGGGCCTGTTCTAAACCTGCATTTATCTTTATCTTTTATTAGATTTGTATACAGCCCTTCTCCTTTCGGACTCAGGGCGGTGAACAGCCAAAATAAAAACATTTGTACACAAAAGTTAAAATAATTTTTAAAAATAATTAAATGAAATTTGGCCCATAATTTAAAACATTTCAATTAAAATCAGTATCTAACGTTAAAACCAACATGGAATCAGGCCAGCCCAGCTACCTGGAAAAAGTAAGTTTTCCTTTATTTAACAATAAAGGAAAAACACCCCTTGTGCTTAAAAATCTGGAAAGAAATGCTGCGGGTTAGGAAAAATAATTGGAAGTTTCTATTATCTATGTTTATTATTGAACTGCATGTTGTTTGTACTGGAGAAATTCAAGAAATGTTTAGTTAACAGTTTATGGAAAAGTCTTGAGAGTTTAGACTGAAGAAACCATATGGATTTTTATATATAGGGTATATTTTGTATATAGGGTATATGTATATTGTATCTGCAGGAGGAACAGGGGAAAAAACACAGAAAAAAATGGATATACTTCCGTTCTGGCTTTTATTATCACTTCTCTAATCTGATTATACTGTTGCTTTCGGAGTGGGGCAGCGTTTTTAAACGGTTTTATTACACGTTGGAAGTTTTTATTTGTTTATTTATTTTAATGTTGTAAAGTCTTGGAGGCGCGGAAAGCGAATTCAAGCACTTTGGCTTCCTAATTCTGTGAAAACGGGGTGTGTATGTGAAAACTCTCTTGGTAGGGAGTAGCCGGATCGATTGCGCCGAGTAAGCAGAAATCGCATTCGCCTTTCTCCACCCTCGCGGTCGACAGAATAACAGACAGACGCTTTCCCGGTAAAACGGGAGGGGTAGTAGTAGTAGTAGTAATAGTAGTAGTAGGCACGCCACGGAGCAATTTTGCAAACGCCAAAGTCTCTTTTGTTTTCCTATCGTTCCCGCTTATATCCGAAATGAAATCCCTTCTTCAAATCACGGGGAAGGGGAACGTGAAAGCTCCAAGCGAATCGTGAGGTGACTTTGAGCGAGAAAAAGGGTCGCAGAAGCGAAGCTGGGAGTGACGGGCGGGAAGAGCCTCCCACTCCCGCGTCTCTTCCTCCCCCTCCGCTCCGCCTTAAAGAGCCAGGCGCGTGCGCGGAAGCGGCCTCCGAGCCCTCCTCCCACCTCCTCCTCCTCCTTCTTCGTCTTCCCGGCTCGCTCGCTATGGAGCATCCCCGCGCCGAGAGCCCTGGCGGCGGCAGCAGCACCAGCACCAGCACTACCAGCAGCAGCAGCGGAGGCGGCGGCGGCGGCGGCGGCGGCAGCAAGGAAGGCGACGAGCCCGAATCCCCTCCCGGTCTTCTGCCAAGCCGGGCGGTGACAGCAGCGACGACCACAGCTGCAATAGCGGCGGCTACCGGACCGCCGGCTTGCTCGGTAAGGGGAGCTCCGCCGCTGCACCAGGGCACCGGGTTAGGCCGCGGCCCCCGTGGACGGGCTTGTCCCGCCTCCTCGACGGAAGCCAAGGCGGGGCGGGCTCGGGGTGCGGGCGGGCTGGTAACCGGGGGGCGCGGTCTGAAGAAGGCGAAGAGGGGGTCGAGGGAACGGAGAGAGGGGAGGTTGGTTGGGCTGAACGCTAAGCCCGGGGTTGGGGTGGAGGAGGAAAAGGGAAGGGAGGGTAGTGGGGATAGGAGAGAGGAGAGGAGCCCCTCGCCTCTGGCTTTGGTGGCAGAGAGTGCCTAAGAGGAGAAGAAGGGCAAGGCACCCCTTGCCATACCTAGTGGGAAGCAGGTGCTGGGCATGCCAGGAAAAGGCGCTCCCGTTGAAAAAGTCTGCCTCTTCCCCCACCCCCACTCTTTCCCCTTTTTTTGTTATTTTCTCCAAAACTCCTTCCCACCCACAAGGGAAAGGGGCCCTGGGACAGCTGGGACAGACCAAGAAGGAAGGTGAACACTTCAGAATTGAATATGCTCCAGCTAGTTCAGCAATTCGAATCCCTAGTGCCTGTTACTTGTCCCAGCTTCTGCCAACCTAGCAGTTCGAAAGCATGTAAAAAAAAAAAAAAATGCAAGTAGAAAAATAGGGAACACCTTTGGTGGGAAGATAACAGCGTTCAGTGCGCCTTTGGCGTTTAGTCATGCCGGCCACATGACCACAGAGATGTCTTTGGAAAGCGCTGGCTCTTCGGCTTTGAAACGGAGATGACCACCCCCCCTAGAGTCAGGAACGACTAGGGGAACCTTTACCTTTACCTTTAATCCTCTGCCCAGCAATGGTTTTATTGCTGTCTTTGGAAAGATGGCCAGGGCAACCCCTCCAGTATTAGGAGCAGAGGTAGTCCTCGACTTAGGAGCCCGATTGAGCCGAAAATGTAGGTTGCTAAGTGAGAAATGGGTTGGGGAGTGAGTTTTGCCCCATAATTTTACCACTTTTCTTGCCACAGTTATTAAATGAATCCCTCTGGTGGTTAAATTAGTAACACGGTTGTTAAGCGAACCTGGCTTCCCCATTGACTTTGCTTGTCAGAAGGTCGCAAAAGGTGATCACATGATCCCGGGACATTGCAGCCGGTTATAAGTATGAAACAGTTGCTAAGCATCTGAATTTTGATTCCATGATCATGGGGATGCTTCAAAAGTTGTAACTGTGAAAACGGTCATAAGTCACTTTTTTCAGTGCTGTTGTAACTTCGAATGGTCACTAAATGAACTGTTGTAAGTTAAGGACTACTTATATTGTAGTCCAATGTATTTGGTATTTTAGTGTTCAAAATACCTGAAGTCTGTTTGTGTCCTTTATTTTTCAAAATAGTATGCTTTCCATACTATTGGAGGCGAATCTACTTTCCAATGGTCATTGGAAATTTATAAAAGAGATGGATAATTGAGGTTGTCGCTACAGGTAGTCCTCAACTTACAACCATTCATTTAGTGATCATTCAAAGTTATAACAGCATGGAAAAAGTGACATGACTGTTTTTCACACTTAATATGGTTGCAGCATCCCCATGGTCATTTGATTAAAAATTCAGACACTTGGCCACTGGCATGTACTTATGACAGTTGCAGTGTCTGGGGTCATGTGATTGCCTTTTTGTGACCTTATGACAAGTGGAAGCCAGATTCACTTAACAATCAGGTTACTAACTTAACAACTGCAGGGATTCATTTAACTGTAGTAAGAAAGGTCGTAAAATGGGGCAAAACTGAATAACTGTCCTGCCTGCCAATGCAAACTTTGGGCTCAATTGTGGTCGTACAGCAGGGACTACTTGCATCATGTTTAAGGCCCTTCAATAACACCGATAACCAAATGAAAACCAGGATTTGTTTGTAATTTACCACAGACCAATTTAGCATTAGATTTGCTGACAGATTTTAGGAATGTGCATTGTAATTGGTAAGAGTGGTCAACACTGGAAACACTTTAGGTCGTTGGTATCTGCACCGGTTTCTTAAGGAGTTAATAGGAACCGGTGAAATCTTTTAATTGTCTCTAATTTTACTGGCTTCCTGCTATTTGGAGTTTTAAATACTGTCTTAAATTGGCTGTTTTGTATGGTACACAAAGCTATCATGCAGATTGGTTTTTTGTTTAGCACGTTGTGTTTATAAACCATAGTGTGGCTTGTAAACTGTGATTTATGGTTTAGCATACTGCATGGATCCAGCCAGTTGCAATCTGCTTTTTAAACTCGGTTTAGCATGTTTTTGCAATTTAGCCATTATGTGGCTGAAACGCACCATGATTATCAGCATACCTATTGTTGGGAGAGGAATCTGATGAAACATTTAACGTCCCCTCTTCCAAGGTTTCATGGAATGTTACTCCATTTCTGAGTGCAAATGTTAAATATTAGAGCAGAGAATAAATTTTTGCCATTGCCCTAGCTTATGTCACTAAAGTTTCAAAGAATAGGCTAAGTGTTTTTAATTGATACTCTTCTGATTTTTAATAACAATAAGCTTTTACATTAGTTGGTATAAATGTTATTGTATTTAACAATGGCTGGATGTGTCTTTCTCTCCAAGGAATTTAGGCAGGAAGTATATCTTCAGCATGCAAAGGGACTCTATATGGACTCTATCATGGGTAATGTAGGAATCTTGTAGACTGTTCAAATTTCATCTGCCTTCAGATTCCCATTGTTAGAATCCCAATTTTGAATGCTTCATTTTGTGTTGAATACCAGAGTCAGGATCCTGCTGTTTTAATGCCAGCCAGCCAGGTTAATGCACAACCTGCCTAAACTAGGGAAGAGGGCAGACATTTGATTTTAATTGCTTAAACATACACGCTGAATGCTTCACTACAAGGGATAAAACTCAAGGAAGGACTTACTGACTACCATGCAACTCCATTTTATTTGGTATAAATAGGTGATTAAAATATGTAAGCCCAGTAAATCAGGAGAAAAGAAGCTTCATTAATGTAGGTGAAGTTAGAGTTTAGATACTCATTTGGTATTTTAAGATTATTCCCCCCAAAAAAGATTAAACAAAAAAAGCTGCATGTGCCTCTGTCATATTCTCAGGGATCTACGATTGTCTCAAAGGCGCTTTTTCAAAAGGCAACTGGACTGTTTTTTTGAGGAAGGAGAAGATGATGTTTCACTTCTCATCCAAGAAACTTCATCACAGTGATGAAGCTTCCTGGATGAGAAGCAAAACCTCATCATCTTTCTCAAAAAAACAAACCAAACACCAGTCCAGTTGCCTTTTGAAAAAGCAACTTTGAGACAACAATGACCTGGATGATTGAGAAGCTGCATCGACAATGATCTAAGACGTTATAGGAAGAGAGCCTTGTTTTGCCATCATAGGATGGCAAAAACCAGGAATCTAGTAGCACTTTTTCTGACCAACAAATGTTATGAAAGGACAAGAACTTTTGTGAACTGTACTTTACTTCATTAGATACATAGAGTGGATAGGCTGATACAGTATTTAAATTTGAATGAGTTTGGGGTGAAAGGCAGAAGAAAATATATTGGTTATGTGAGAGAGATTTCAAATACCCTTATGAATTAACAATTGCAATGTGTTAACTCACTGTATTTTTGAGACCACCAGAGATTGCCTGAAACCTTTGGATGGATGTGAATTCAATTACTATGGAGTGTCCTGGTAGATTGAATTGTTCTGATATTACCTTGCCTTGCTTAGAATTGCGATGTCAAACTTCTGTCCATTAATTCTTTTATTCAAAATTTGTCCTATGTAAAATCAGGAGGAGGCATTGGTGGCACATATCACATTGGAAGAAGAGTGTACAAAAAAACATCTCATCTAGTGTGTGCACTGGTTGGATCTTGTGATGGTGCTCTTGGTGTAGATGCATAGACCTCTGGGTTTGTGGCAGACTCTCAGCCCCATGTTGTTGTCATTGTTCTATTTTTGCTGCTTTAGGTTGGATGATAGTCTGTAAGCAAGTATGAGCCTGTTGGCTTGAGAAAGTGCAGTATCATTGTCAAGTATGGGATGTTGTTTATTGCTAACTCATTTGAGTGGGTTTGAGCTGTAATCTGTAGAGAGTGCCCAGTGGTGTTCTATTTTGTTTCTGTGGTCTGTCTTTTACTAAGTCCTTCTTAGGAATTGATCAAGCCCCATTGATTTTGTCTATTGATCTTGTTGTGTGCATAGTTCAGTCTTCTGAATGCCTAGTTTAATTCCATCAGTTCAGCATCTCTGCTCATGAATCAAATATGATTTTAACTTAGAGCCTGGCTGTAGATGATTTGGTGATGTGTTTTTGGGGAAAAGTGAAAGCATGCAAGTATGCCTAGTAATCTATGGCTATATTTATTTAATGTGATGTTTATGTATCTGTTCTGTAGTATTACAGTGATATTAAGGAAATGAACTTGTTCTGTAGGCTGAGCTTGATAGAGGGTGGAAGGTTTTGAAGTCATGAGAGATTAATTTCCATGGGCACAATTGATAAGGATGTTATCAGTGAATCTCAAGTAATGAAGAGGTTTCAGGGAGTTGAGAGTTAAGAAACCATCACTCTAAGTCAGCCATGAAGATGTTAATCCCACTGATTGCCAAAGGTGAAACGGTTCTAGGTGGATACAAAATCACAGGATTTGGTGGCAGTGTGTGCAGTTTTGGCATCAATGATGTTCTTGATGACCTGAAGTCTATGCTTGGGAAAGTTACTGTTTAGCATCCATGGTTGTTGAAATAGTTTTGCTAGGGTGATTGCCTATGCCCTATGGAATTCAGTTTTCCCAAGAAATCTGAAGTGACTCTTAAATAGTTGGGAGTGCTGGTCTGACATATGGAAGTGAAACCTGATATTCCAGTTATGATAGATTAAATGCTTGAGATAAAGTGAATCTCCTACTTTAAGTAGGAGGATTAAGGTAATTCTCCCTCTTTAAACAAATTAATGGGAAAAACTAGCCCTTCTTTCAGGCAAATGCAATAATTTGATACAACAGTTACCATGACATGCACTGCAACACCTTATGTTTTCCTACACTCTTTGTCTAATGGATAAACTAATCAGATAGGGCAGACATTTTTCGCTGACTTGTGTGAAAAGGTTTATAATAGAGGTGGTATTGCAAAGATTAAAATATAATTTATGCATTGTAAATTGATATTAGTGTCATCCCTTACAATCAATTATTCTGCTTTTTAAGAGCCAGTGATTTGATACTTGGCAGCAGCAAAGTGTTTTAATAGATATAGAGCAACAGCTGTAATGTTTACAGACATACCTTTTCCCCCCTAAAAGATCATGGAAGACTGTTTATTGAAAAAAATAGAAATCAGCATTGCTGAAGCCGAAAAGAGGACTGGACGGAATGCTATGAACATGCAGGAAATTTATACTGCATACCTAGTTGAAACAAGGTAGGTTAATATCAAAATAAAGTTAACTGTTACATTAGCTTTTTTTACTATTAGTTTGAAAATTATTTTCAATGCATTTTATGGTTTATGTGGCTTTTCCATTCTGTCTTAATAAGCTTAGGAACAAGTAGAATTGCTTGGAGCCCGTTTTGGAACCATGTTCTTAAAGAATTATACTTATTAAAATAACTTATGCATAAGAAAAGAGCTGACTCAGTTCCTACTGTTGTGAAATCTTTTAAAAATAAAAACAGTTCATTGGAACAGTGCGGCTCATGAGTGCTTCAGATCAAGCAGATCAAAGAGGGGCTCTGGGTGGTATACAATATAATCGATATATAAAACAGCATATAAAGTTAACATTAGAATATTAAAATTAAGATTAAAAATTAAAATTGTGAAATTTTAACATAACATTTTGGAGACATTAAAAAAATTCCAAGATTTAACAATGATTAATAAAGGTGGAAGGAGCCAGCCAACCCTGTGGTTGCATGGTCCTTTGTGCCCCCCATGCAAGGCTGCAGAGCCAGGTTTTGACCCCTTTACAGAAAGTCAGGAGAATGGGGGTCTGTCTTATTCGCGGGGTGGAGGGAGGATGATACATAAAGTAGGGGCAGCAGCAGAGAAGGCTGTCTTCTTAGATCCTGCCAATCAAAAAATCCTTGATTGACGGGGTCTGCAGCATAGGGTATCTCAAGGTGGGGGAGGCTTTGGGAGGCTGGAGGCAAGTCAGCTTGTGCCTGCACTATGGTCTACCCTGCATCTGAGGTGCCCTTTATTCCATGTAATGACCCATGCATTCATTTAACAAATACATTGGGGAGAGTAGGGATGGGAACTCATTAAGTGAAGTGGTTCACCAGTATGAATTAAATGTTAGTATGTGGGAATGATGGCTGGGGAGGTCTACTTCTGCTAGGTCCGTGATGGCAAACCTATGGCACGCGTGCCACAGGTGGCATGCGGAGTCATATCTGTGGGCACCCGAGCATTGCCCTAGTTAAGCTGCAGCATGCCTGCGCGCACCAGACAGCTGATTTTCGGGCCTTCTGGGGCCACCAGAAGTCTGGCCCTCTGGAGGGCCTCCAGGGGGTGGGGAAGGCAATTTTTGCCCTCCCCAGGCTCCTAGAAAGCCTCTGGAGCGTAGGGAGAGCAAAAAACGGGGCTACCGGGCCCACCGTGCCATCACATGCCAAAAGCGGGGGGAACGCAGGGGTTGCGCGCACATGCATGGGGGGGCAGGGTGCATTAAATTATGGGTGTGGGCACGCGTACGACCCCCCCCCACACTCCCCCCGCTTTTGGCACACGACGGCAAAAAGGTTAGCCATCACTGTGCTAAGTGTTTGTGATCATATGTGAGAAAAGATGTTGGCTGGGAGTGTCTGCTGTCTGCCTGATATGCTGATGTGCATGCATACCTTTAAAAAGAACATTAGACGATTTGAAACTGACTGGGAATAGCTGTATGTTTTTAAAGAGCACTTGTACAATAGATGATAATGCCAAAGAAATTTACAAATTTCTTATTTATTGAAGATACTTTGGGGGAAAATATCTCTCGAGCACATTGTGGGGTAGGTTGGAGACATATCACTGTGGTTGTATGGTGTTTGTATCCTGCTACACATCAGCTTATGAATACCAAATACAACAATGTTTCTGGATACTTAAACTTACAATTGTTTTCTGTTACAGTTTATAGTTGTTTTGCTGATAGAAGAATACACAGTATCATTTTTCCCTCTCAAACACTGATAGAAGCATCTTAAAGTATTTATTAGCTTATATTTATTTTGCTAACTAATTAGTACATGTAAATTAAATTAGCAATTTAAAGCTAACCAATAAAGCACATATCAAACATACAGTAGGCAAAACTTAAAATGCATGGTTAGTGTCTGTTAGTTTTTCTGACATTGAGATGGATTTCTCCATACACTTTTTATATCTTGAAATTAAACTAGATATTCTACTGATCTTCACTTGATCTTATCATAATTAGGTTCTGATGTTGTTTAGGTCTGTGGAGTCAATGGGTGAAGGACAATGTTCCCCTCCAGACTCTCTTTGGAGGCGATACAGTGAATTTGAATTGTTGAGAAATTACTTGCTAGTGAACTATCCACATATCATTGTACCACCTTTACCAGAAAAAAGGGTAAGACTCGGTTTCAGCTCATTCTGTTTGGTTATTTCTTTTATCACATTATTCATACTTGGACTTGTTAAAGTTCATGCCTCTATGATGACATACCAAGATATAATTTGGGGTTCAGGAGCGACTTGGCTTATATTTTTATTTCATGTGCAATCTTTACCCTTAAGGCAGCAAATATAGCCTTTGATTTATGTAAGGAGTGTTTAAAGTTTAAAAAATAGGAGATGTGAGCTAAAAGTGAGTTTGTGTAGCTTTTTTTAAAAAAAAATCTAGTGCTTCATTGTAAATTTATGCAAATCATATATAATGGCTAACATACTTCATATGTCATTTAGAGTGAGAAAATTTAGAGTACCATATTTACCTACATACGTTTTTGTGTCAGAATGCATGTGGGAGAAAACAGTTGATATATGCAAATAGGGAATGAAATAATTTTATAAACAAGGTACCTAATATTACAGACAATTAATTTTAATCAATAATACTAATTCTTATCTTCCTCCCCTTTTTGGAGGCAGTGTGGTTTCTAACAAGTATATATCCACACAAATATATTCATGCATATGAACATTCTTTCTCTCTTATGGGTGGTAGAAACCTCCAAGATTATTCCAGCTAGTGCTCACATCAATTATCCATAAATTGATAATATGGGATGTTGCACATTGTTTTGTCTTCTCATACTTTTAAAGGATCGTCTTAAATTTTAAATAAATTGTTTTCCTGTCAGGTAAATATCATGCAGCACTTTAAAAAAATGTGGATTGCCTTAAAAGGATTATAAATATTTCATACTATTAACCTTCCACCTTGTTTTGCAGGCAGAATTTGTTTGGCATAAGCTCTCGGCAGATAACATGGATCCAGATTTTGTAGAACGACGGAGGATTGGCTTGGAAAACTTTCTTTTGCGTGTGGCTTCACATCCAGTTCTTTGCCAGGAAAAGATGTTTAATGCATTTTTGACCCTAGTATGTTGGTTGGATTTTGTAAAATATACTTATGCACCTTAATTCTAATTCATTGAATATACATTTGTGGTAGAAAGCTCTCAGGTTTCTTTCTCAAGTAGGATTAAAAATTAACTGAAAACTAGGACAATTGATATTATTCAGATAGATGGAATAGCAGAACCAGTGTGAGAGAGTTTTCCGTGTCTCCTCTCGTTCTAATGCTCAATAATTATAGAAATTAGAGTGTGCATATGTTAATATACACACATCAAATGCAAGTTTTCATGTTACAAATTGATTTTTTTTTAACTCCTAGGTGATTTTTTTTGACACTGCCAGCCTCAACCTTTTTAGGAAGTTAATGATTGGCTTAAGATAAACAGTTACAGTTTAGCATAAAAAAACCCCATGTCACTGATAATTACATTCCAAAACATGTATGGTATAAACATTATTGGTATGCATTGGCCCCTTTAAATAGACTATGAGATTAAAATATTTTAAAAAAAGCAAATCTAAAAAATATGTGAAATGCTGGGAATGTTTACAAATACTTTGAGAGGTCCAATATATTCATTAGCCTAATTCCTTTTGTCTCATAAAAGAGTATTAAACAAGTTAACAATGTTAATTTCTATGTTAAGAGGAAAAATACCTAAGAGTACAAATAATGTGTTCTAAAACTGTAATCCTATAATCAAATAAACCCCTGCACTACTATTTATTGTACATACACAATACTACTTTTACAATCTTCTCTCTCCCTGACAGCATCTATTAATTGTTCTTCAAGTGTTTTAATTATATAGAATATTTTATATCTATATATACACATTTGAGCATTGTATGGAAAAAATATAATTTTCTGTCTTCTCAGACAATAGTAGAATTTGGCAATTATCCATTTAAATCAACCGTGAATACAAAATTCTTTACCCAATTCATAAATATAGCATTTGCTGGCACGGGATGTAATGATGTGAGTGATATAGGTTTATCATTATTGTTAGGATTGTTAGATTAGTTTTAACCCTACTGAGAATGGTTTAATTCTTGTTTGTATGGTCTTGGGCCATCACATTGTGCCTTACACAAGGAAGGACAGTGCTGCTATAAAAATCAGTGCATCATTAATAAAGCCTTGAAATAATAATGAATATAATTTCTATTTCTAGGAAACTGGCTGGAAGGAAATGGTAAATGAAACAGGGTTTCAATTGAAGGTAATTACTTTATAATGCACTATAATTATATATCCAAAATGATGTAATCATGTAAACTGACTTACTAATAAAGTTTTGTGCCAGAGTTTAATATTGTGTGCTAAAGTTCTGGCAGTTCAAAATATTTTTCTACAATTACCTTTCATTTAGAAAATAAATGTTCTATATCCTTCTAATTATCTTCTGAAATATGCATATCTACATGGGTTAAAATGCTACTTAGAAGAGAGCATTTGCACATAAAAAATGCAAAGTAACTCTGCATACCTTACCATCTTCATAACTATAAATCATACTTAGTAAGGAGTCATCTGCTATGATTGTGCAAGACAGTGGGGAAAGGAATATACAATTCTGTCTTAAGTGCCAAGCAACACATTAATCTTGCATTTTTAAGAGATACTTAATGCTACCACAAATATTTTGAAAGATGCCTAGCATTATGCTGAAATATTCCAACATTACTGTTCTAATCTGAATTGGGGTTTTATATTCCAGATGCTGTTTTCATGCTTTTATAGCTTAAAGTAATTTTTTTTAGGAAACCAAAATAGATTTCTAATATAATTGCATCGTGGAGAATCCAAAAAGCTGACTTTGAAATTATTTGCTATATATTGAAAATACTTTATATAAGTGTTTTATGAGAGAATTAATGTACTACATCATAGTATGGCATGATAGCAAATAGAATGTGTGTGCTGCTTACAAGCAACATAATTATTGGTCTGCTTTAGCCCCTCATAATGTTTCATTTAGTGCATGAATTATGTGCCAATTTTTCCTATGTGCAGAATATAAGCTTTTTATTATACACAATTTTAAGAATTTTGGTTATATTAGTGAAATATAATATATGCTAAATTTAAAGACAGTAGAATAGAAAGGAGTAAACATTGCAAAAGAAAAAACAGAAGAAAGAGAAAAAAAAGAAGTGACTATCAACATTTATCACAACAAGTATAAACAGATTTAGTGATTTCACCTTATCTAAGGTTATAAATAATTTTATCTCAAATTTCTTCCTACTGAATTTACAAAAGATGCTTGTTAAAATCTTGAAAAACTTAGGAAAAAGAAGAAATGAAGAGAAATATAATCTTATGACAATATTTGAAAAAGCTAAAGATTAAGGCCATTAGAAGTAAAAGGAACAAACAAAGTTGGTTTATTTGATCCAGATTGAAATACATCTTATATTTTACTTTTGGCTTCTGTTTATGGACTTTGTTCTGCAAATTAGTTTTGTTAAATTTTATGCTGCTTACAAGAATTATCACAATCACTTTTGGTTGTAATTTTGTTTTTGTTTCAAATTTAACATGTGTTTCTCCAACAGGCAGATTCTAGATTAAAAGCTCTTAATGCAACATTCAGAGTGAAAAATCCAGATAAGTAAGTGTGATGGGGCTTAAAAGCAATTATGATTATACTAAAGTAAAGATGGAATTCTGGTTAAGTTCAGTGGAATTTGTTTCTGAATGAAATCATGGAATAGTATTATTGTTTAAATGACTACAATATATTTTAGGAGCTCCCTGCTTTAGTGTAATTTAGCAAACAGTGGATATCATAGCCAATTAGATATTATAAGGTTATTACAAAAAATAATCCATTGTCATCCTGCTATAAAGTTTGTTGCTGAAGGGAGTAATTAAATTGTCCTGTTTTCTGTTAGTCAAAAGAGTGGATATCCTGGATACTAAAATATTTTGAACATTATTTTAGAAAAGTAAGAACAGTATCATCCAGCTGCATATAAGCGAAATGTTGGCCTGCACTCTTCAGGTGCAGTATAGTGTCCATAGGAGCCATTCATCCATTTGTTTTCACCTGGCTCTTCAAGTGGTTCAAACCCAAACTTTCTCCAAACTCCAAACAGTGTTGCTGGCAGGATTTGGCTTCCATTCCCTTCATTATCTTGGTAGTCAACTGCTGAGCCCCGTCTAATTGATGGATACTTTTTTTTTAGTCTCTGGTGTCCAGGACAGGATGCAATATTCCATATTGAGTCTGAGCAAGGAAGAATAGAGGTAGACCATTAGTCCCTGCAATGTGGATTTAGTGATCTTACTAATGTATCCCAAAACAAGTATGAGCTTGGCAGAACTAGATTAATAGATATTCTAGTAGTTGAACTTTATGAGTGGTGTAGCGACCTAGTAGTGAAGACGTTTGCCTGCCACTGGGAAGATTGAGAGTTCAATCCTAGGTAGTGGCAGATGTTTCTCTCCTAAGGTGCAAAGAAAAACATCTGCTGCAAACTCCACATGGCATCACAGAGGGCATCTGGCCAGTAAACGCTCAGCTCCATCCAGTTGCCCAAGTCTACCCGAATTAAGGAATTACAGGGTCATGAAAAAGTAGCTGAACTTTCCCATTGTCACTATTGTGTACCTGTTTGAAAGTTTAATCATCTGATAGAGGAAAACTCAGCCACATGTTCCTCCTGCTTGGTAATATCATTTTTTTATTTATCTGTGAAACAATCTCAGAAAGATTTCCATGTTGTGGTCCATGACTTTCCGCTCAAGCATATGGTTTCTGATTGAGTAGCATAGTACCTGTTCCCTTTCTCTGGAGTCCATTTGAAGAAGCTGTTGTTCCAGGGCTATATTCTACCACTTACATTTGCTTTTACATATTTTGCCGAAATGCAGATGCACTTTGAAAGCAATCTTAAAACTTGCTCAAACTAGCTTTCTGTTGTATTGATTATAAAGGACATTGGGTCTGACCAAACTCCACTTCTTATATTACTTTGGAACAGCACTCAACTGTGGAAAAATATATTCAGAATCATTTGATGCTGAAATTGCCTGAGGTCATTAAAATATAACGAAGCCCAATTTGAAATACCACCCGAAGTATGTAATAAACATTATCCCTTGTTTCTAGAACATAACCTGGAGATAGAATTATGATTCCCCCCCCACACTCTTCACAACCACAGGTTTTCTTTGAACACTGATAACTGGCCCACCCAAACAAGTACATGTCTCTCTTAACTATGTGCATATTGTCTCTTTATTTTGTATGGACCAGTTTTGCTGTGTTTCTTAAACTCTATTTTCCAGCAATTTTTTTTGGGTTCATATGGACTTTTGGGAATAGGATGTATGGGCAGTGGTGGAATTCAAATTTTTTTACTACTGGTTCTGTGGGCGTGGCTTGGTGGGCGTGGTGTAGCTTAGTGGGCATGGTTTGGTGGTGTTGTGACCCAGGCCCAAGTAAATAGTAGGAAAATCAGTCCGTGAAAAAACAAACAAACTTTATTCAAACAGCTGAGAATTACTTCATTCCCAGCATCATTCAACTAAATTAAAGCAAATTCCTCCCAGCACAAATTCCTCAGTCCTATCACAAACCTTGTCCAATTAGGCCAAAGGCCTTTCTTGGCAAACGTTCAGAAGCCACAGATACAAAAATAAATACAAGACGTAGACGAAGAAGAAGACGAAGCTACCAACATCATTTTCCGGCAAAGCCCAAATGCCATTGCTGGTCTGTTTTACGCCTTATGGGATGGGCCAATCATCTCTTGGCCCTACTCCCGAGTTGTCCTCTTTGCTTTAGCTGCTCTTGCCTTCTGGCAGCTCTTCTTATGCGTGCTTTAGGAACAGGCTCCTCCTGTTCCTCTGCCTCATTCCTATCAGGCTCTGGAGGCCACACCTCATTCCCCGATGGCCCTGGCCCCATCTCTGCCTCTGACGCAGAGCCCTCATCCGGGCCTTCCCCAGCCTCCAGAACTGGCCCATGTTCTTCCTCAACCCCATCGCTGTCCGATTTCGCTGCCAACTCCGCAGGCTGCTGGCGGACCACAACAGGTGGGTGTGGCAGGGGAAGGATATTGCAAAATCACTATTCCCACCCCAGTCTGGGGCCAGCTAAAGGTGGTATTTGCCGGTTCTCCGAAGTACTCAAAATTTCCACTACCAGTTCTCCAGAACCTATCAGAACCTGTGTATGGGTCAAGATTTACATTATTTTTGTTGTACCTACCTGCTTTCCTATATCTTCTATGGGGTTGAGTGGGATTTGTCTATATGTCTATAAGTTCCAGGGGTTAAGTAGGGTTTTTCTCTGAGATATCAGACTTTTATTCAGGATTTTTGTCTTGCTTTGAAGAGAAGTTTGTGTTCCCTATTGCTAATAATGTATTTGCACCATGTTGTATTTCTAGGAGATTTACAGAACTTAAACACTATAGTGATGAGCTGCAGTCTGTCATATCGCATCTTCTAAGAGTCAGAGCTGTAAGTGTTTTCATCTTTGGATTCTGATGAAAATAATGTAAGTCAGCATGTCCTAATGTGCAACACACGGGATCATTTGTTTCTTTGTGTGAAACAGATTGAATCAAATAAGCCCTTTCTCTGCATACAAGAAATTATATGGATAATTTAAAATGATAGGGACATATGTAGTCAATATGAGATGTTTCTGGGAAGCTGTGAAAAAAGAAGTTATGTTTGGACTCTTTGTGTTTAAGCTCTTCAATTAGCAGTGTATGTGGATGGTTTCATGTCTAGGAAGTGGAATTAATTGCTTCTGTCCCTTAAGGCTAGTTCTGGGTTAAATAGTTGCACTTGGAATCATGAATCTAAACATACACATTTCTAATCTGTTTTCTCTGTATGTAACCTATCACTGTCTTCAGGTTAATAATTATTTATTTATTTATTTAATTATTTATTAATAGAACACTCCATTTATCTCAAAAGCAAGCCAGACTTTATAACTGGCTTTTTTTGTCGCCAAAATTAGCACTCAACATAATATTAGAAGAAGAAGAAAAAACTACTCAGAACTGATATGTTTCTGAAAAATCAGTCTGCAAATTATATCTCAAATCTACTCTCTCCCAATCTGAGGCTATGGGGTATATGGTTATGGGTATATTTTAAAAAAACTGAAGAAGTCATTTTATAAATGTTCTGATACTTAAGTTAGTGTCCATGGTATAATATCTGGTAGATATTCTGGTGAACCAAAACGTGGAGTGAAGATAATGGTGTGTTCAATGTGCTTGAGTAGTGTTTAAAAGGGAAAAGAGACTAGGAAGTCTACTTCAATTCCTTATCATTTTATTTATCCTTTTGTAAATTCAATTGTTTCTTGTACAAATTCATATTCTCAAATGGTACTGGGCAGCTTATTCTCTGTGTCCACATAAAATTATACAGGTGGCAATATACCAATTTTAAACAGTATGTTTAAACTGTTTAGTGTTTTCTGCTCAACACTAATAAGGGAGTCTGATTCCAACAACAGTTTGTTCCACAATAAAGGCTTTGTTTTGGAAAAAGCAAGTTTTAGCATCAGTGTAAACATAGTCATTTTTGTTTTCTACAATACTAAGCTAACTAAACAGACAGTAATTTCAAAAATCTTGAATGTTTTTAAAAATATTTTTCTGGCATGGGAGAAATATTTTTAATTAAATACAGTTTCTACATTTTTAGAGAGTGGCAGATCGTTTATATGGTGTATATAAAGTCCACGGGAATTACGGGAGAGTGTTCAGGTAAGATGAGAGAACACTTTATTTGTAAAATCATCCCTTTATATTTTGAAGATTTATCCCCAACTTTTTAATTTTATGTGAGCATTCAAAATGATTGAAGCGATAAAAAGCCAAAATTTGAAAGCAATAGATGAGCCATTAAGAGGATATGAAATGAGGGAGTAGTTAGGAACAGATAAGAAAATATTATTCCTTGCCACATCCCTAGTGTTTTCTAACTACAGTATGGACCATAATTGTGTATCAGAAATAAGGACATCCAGTATTGGAAAGCTTGTACTTTCACTGACTGATGGAATGGGGCCAGTTTGGCTTCTGCCTTGCCTGAATGGTTTCCCTGGAGAAAAAGCTTCAGCCTCTTAATGGTTTCTCGTGGCGGGGCCATTGGTAGAGATCAGATGGGCCAGTAAGCGTAGGCCCAAATCGGCTTCTTAGGTTAGAGAGTTTTGCATCCTGGGCTGTATACCAAAGATAACCATTTTGTGTAGGGTATTTTGGGTGGGAGGCTTAATTGGAACATGAATAGCCTCCCTCTCTCTATGCCTGCTATTTTCATTTAAAACAAAATATAACTTAAATTGGGATTTGTTTTCCTGCCAGTAGAAATTGCTGAAAAGCAGTATTTGAGACCATTTGCTGTGTTGGCAGTTTGTTACTAAGAGTATGAAATGCAGTTACTCACCAAAAGGGGGGGAAAAGTTAAGAATTGCTATTTGTCTGCTTATAAAGGGCCCCAGCCCAGCTGCATCTGTGTATTTGAGATTCCCTTTTCTTAATCATGTAAAGGGAAAGGGAAACAAAAAAACAAAAAAAGAGAGAAAAACTGTCAAAAGAAAAATGGGCATTTATTTTTGAAACCATGACAAACATCGGCGACATCATTAATGTTTAAACTTCTATAGAGATTACTTACTTTTACCCTGTTTTCCCCAAAATAAGACATCCCCTGATAATAAGCCCAATCGGGCTTTTGAGTGCATGGCAGTAAGGCCAAGGGCTTATTTCAGGGTTCAAAAAAATATAAGACGGGGTCTTATTTTCGGGAAAACACAGTAGTTATTAACCCAGTTCTGTACATTTAATTAATGAGTGAAATAAATTTTATGATTCTTGTAAATCCTTTATTTTGTTCTTTATTCACTTTATCTTTTCCCATCTTTTTCCTGTTATATAGCTAATCTATTTTTAAAAATGCTTTAATCAATAAATTATTAATTTTTTAAAAAAGTTTCATTGCTCTTCTTGCCTTCAGCCACCCTGTAAAAGTAGCAAGAAGAAGCTATTAAGTGACCTATGTTTAATCTTGTTTAAAATCTGTGTGGGTCAGAATAAAGCTTGCTGTATTAGTTCATTTTAAAACATTTATAAACTTGAATCTATGACAGCTGTATGTAAAGCTATTTTATTGCATCCTGCATTTTTTTACATATGAAGTGGTTTATACCATATCTCTGCCAGAAAGGGGGACATAGCAGAATGTTATTTCTGGACATAAACTATTTAATTCTTTAAAAAAAAACAAATGAGACTAATATAATAGTGCAGATATGTTGTTTTTAGTTGTGTCTTTAGGTGCGTATAGTTTAAATGCCAAGATAGTATGCAATATTCATAATTCTTCAGTGTGATAGAAATTTGACTTTCTGACTGGGTGGTCTCTTGCCATGGTAAATGTAATTTTCTAGGCCAATAATTGTGGCCTTTTAGATGTTGCTGATGTATTGCTCACAGCATCCTTTATTATTTACTATCCTAGCTTGGAAGCAGCTTTGATAATTTACAAATTTCCCTTGTCTAATAACATGGAGATGTACCTATTTCATTTTAGAATTTTAAGTTATTATCAAATTAGATTATATACTGCAAACAAATCCAAAGCAATTTTTTGTTCTGTTTTAGTGATCTTAAAAGATATTGTAAAACATTTTTTTTGTATTTTACATAACACGCAATAGGTCGGTTTTGCCAACAACAGCAAATAGAATGTGCAATGCTGTGTCTTATTTAACTCTTTTTCTTTTAGCGAATGGAGTGCAATAGAGAAAGAGATGGGGGATGGGCTTCAGAGTGCTGGTCATCACATGGATGTGTAAGTATTGGCTGCATTAGAGTTGATGGAAGCCAGATGAGCACATTAAGGGGGGGGTTTGGTGGGGGGGTGGAGTAGCAGTGTGAGCTGTGCTATATTTGATGGACTCTTAGGTTGGGGCTGTTTTAAAATCTGTTGCATTAAGTAGCCCAAAGAGTCCCTGGTGACTTAAAGGGATTTCTTTTTATTATTATTATTTTGAAACTATAGAAGAGGCTGGTGCTGTTCCAAGGTTTCCTTTAAATTTCTATGCCAGAAAGTTGTAGAATAAAACATAATGTAATGCAGACCTGATTTTTTTCCATTTATTTGATAGCAGTAGCTTTGCTCTTATTTTACAGATGCTATGAAACTACAAATTTGTTTTTTAAATATTCATCATATTTGATATTTTAATTTGGGGAGTATATAGACTACTATGGCATTAAGAGGAGCCAATTTTTTTCAGAAAACTCTGAGCGGAACATAGGGCTCACTTGGCAGTTGCTACATTTCTAGACTCTGTATTATTGGCCTATATTGCAGGATTATTTTTTTTAAATGCCCAGGGGCTTGCTTTTCCTGATTGGTCACTGAGGAAAATAATCCCATAGCATTGTCAACATTAATGGTAATTCTTCTGCAAAATACTGTGTTTCCCCGAAAATATGACCTAACCCGAAAACAAGCCCTAGCCAGTTTTCACACCTGTGCCTAATATAAGCCCTACCCCAAAAATAAGCCCTAGTTAAGCCCCACCCACCACCTGGTTGTACAAAGTGGGGCAAGGCACATGCATAAAAATCAAGCTGTGGGAGGGGTGGAGCTACCCTGTGCACCCCACACCCATTTACCTTAGGACTGCTGCAACCAGGCCTCCTATGCCCTGACACCTGTCACAGTGCTATCTGACTTCTGCGGCTGCTTGCAGCCACCTGAGGCAGGAGGCCGCATGGTGCCGGTTGCAGCTGCTCGCAGCAGAAGGCCATGTGGCTCATCACACCAGTGCCATCACTCGCAGCAAGATGCCGCATGGCACATTGCGCCAGTGCTGCTGCTAACGCACACAATGGTGCAACACGCCACACAGCCTCCTGCCGCAAGCAGCGGTACTGGTGTGATGGGCCACACAGCATTGGCCGTGAGCGGCCACAGAAGTCAGGCAGTGGTGCGACAGGTGTTGGGCCGTGGGGAGCCTGGCTGTGGTGGTCCTAAGGTAAACGGGTAAGACATCCCCCAAAATAAGACCTGGTGCTTATTTTGGGTTCCAAAAGAAAATAAGACCGGGTCTTGTTTTCGGGGAAACATGGTACCGTTTTCCATTAAGAAATTATGGGTCTTCTGAAATCATCCTACCATTGTTGCATCAAAATAACAATAAATGAAGATAGGCTTTGTATTATATATTGTTTCAGTCAGAGCTAGGATGATCCTAGAAGACAACGAAGAAATAATGAAACAAACCACAACTAGCAATAAATTGAGACACTATTTCTAATTGGCAAGATGCAATCCTCTTCCTGCCCACACTATAATGTTTAAAATATATATTTTAAATATTATAATATTTGATCACTATGTATGCCCTCTTTGATCATGGCTATGTGGAATAAATAAATATAAATTGTTTTTTAGTTCTGTTTTTATTTATGGTTTAGCTGCCAATCCTGTAACCAGTCTTCTTGAATATTTTCCTCTATTAGAATAAAGCTTATTTTTTAAGCAAGAAATTTTTGCCACTACAGAATTTATATTTTACTGTAGTAATTATTTGGAAGGTTTTCAAAAATGGGACACTAAATCTTTTATATGAGTTTTGGTTCTGTCTTTAAAGAAAATATATTTTTACCAAGTCATTTTAATTAGGCCTTAATGAAAATATTTTTAAATAAATATCCCTGCAACATTGATCAAGTTTGTGGAATGTGAGTTTGTTTTTCTGGTATTCTTTTTTTTCCCTGCCCAGGTATGCAGCTTCTATTGATGATATACTAGAGGAAGAAGAACATTATGCAGATCAGCTGAAAGAATACCTCTTTTACGCAGAAGCTCTTCGGTAAGCACATTAATACATCTGCTGTAATTTTCCTGATAAAGTTTAAAGCATTGCAGTTAACTCATTTGGTAAACAGTTGATAAAAGTGAATGATTAGAATGGGCATGCAAGAAGAAGTTGCTCTGCATATTAGCCTTGAAATAAGTTGCTATCAGATAGCCTTGCTTCTTGATCTTTGCATAGCACGGGAATTATGCTGACTCCTGTAATAAATGAACTAGGCAGAGAAATAAAAAGAACCTATCCTGAGATTTTATACTGAGGCTGCCAGTGACAGGCTCAAATTATGCTCATTCTACCATTATTTTGAAGAGATTTGTGCTTTGTGAAAAAAGTAATTATTTACAACTGGCTGGAATTACAAGTAATGGTTTGCAGGTGTGTTACAAAGTGATTAGTGAATTTTAAGGACCTGGGATTCAGTAAATATTTCGCCTTTCCGACAGCTGTGTCTCAGCGTTTGTCCAAATATTTAAAGCAGGTTGAACTACTGACCAAACTTGTGGGTAGATACCTGTGGCAAAACAGCCTTAAAATCAAGATCAGGCTATAAGACAGTCAGGAATGATTCATCCAATGAAGCAGTCAAAGTGGCTTTAGGAAAGCAGGGGAAGAATGTAAGGTGTTCAGAAGATGAGGGATAAATGAGGTGGGCAGGATACCCAATACTTGGAGATAGAATGGAGATTATTGGAAGACCAAATATGGGCGGGCTGGTAGGCAGATCATGTGGAAGACATGGAGAAAGGGCCTGTCTTATTCACAGCTTAAAGTAAGTGTACAATTGCTTTGGGTTTTGCTTCTTCTGTAACTGGAACAATTGATGAGGGCCCATGTTTTACTTCTGCTGAAACAGGCCTAGCCAGAAATGACTCCAGAATATACAGGCTGTGAAGATTCGTTTTGGGTTTAAACTAACATGCAAAATGGGGTGAAAATTGTGCTTTCTTTAGAAGCTTGATTTAGGCTTATAGTTTGAGTAAAACGATAGTTTTGATCCTAAGATTTCTGACTATTTTTGGTGACTTCTGTGTTGAAATGTGTTATTTTTGCATACCTATGATGCAGTGGTGGGATTCAGTTTTTTTTTATTACTGGTTCTGTGGGCGGGGCTTGGTGGGCGTGGCATGTCATGGCGGGCATGGCTTGGTGGGCATGGCAGGAGAAGGATACTGTAAAATCTCCATTCTCTCCCCACTCCAGGGGAAGGTTACTGCAAAATCACCATTTCCTCCCGATCAGCTGGGACTCAGGAGGCAGAGAATAGATGGGGGCGGGGCCAGTCAGAGGTGGTATTTACTGGTTCTCCAAACTCCTCAAAATTTCCGCTACTGGTTCTCCAGAACTGGTCAGAACCTGCTGAATACCTCTGCTATGATGCTGTCTCTGCAGAATATTCTATTAAATGTGGAAATGCATGTTTTGTTTTTTTGTTTTGTTTTTGCTTAATCTAACATTGGGAGAGCAGCTCTCAAATGGGATGATAAAAGTTTGTTTGGAATGAAACATATTTAAAATCTTATTTTTAAAAATAATGTGGCTCTTTGTGTTGAGAGGGTCTCATTTCTTTCTCTGGCCACCTATGTGATTAAGGACTTTAATTTTCTAGGGTTATCTATTAAATAAGAACCTCTATAGAAGAAGTTCTCTATTGCAGACGGTTCCCTTTCACATGGCTTAGATCAGCAATTCCTAAACTTTTTGCTTTCAGGGTCCCTTTTAAAAATTATGAAGCATTTGTTTGTATGGGTTATATTTATTGATATTTATCACATTTAAAATTAAAATATGCTTTCAAAGAATATTTCTTTACTGAATCACATAAAAATAACAGTATTAAATCCAATAGATATTAACATAAATAAAATGTTTTTTTCATAAACTATTTTTCAACAAATAAAGTAATAAGAAAAGTAACATTGTTTTAAATGTTTACAAGTATCTTCAATCATTGGCAAATTTTGATTTTCTGGACCCCTGTCAGGGTCTTGGGAAACCCCCAATAATCCTCAAATCATACTTTAAGTGCTCGATATATTGACTATGAGATTCATTCTTACTGCTTCTGAATGTACATAGATTTGGATTGATGAGCAAAATGTTTCATTTATAATTTTTAATGGCTATTTTCAGGACAGTTTGCAAGAAACATGAACTTCTGCAGTATGAGTTTGAAATGGTTGCTCAGGATCTCCTGTCGAAGAAACAGCAGTGTGAGGAATTGGCAACAGGTGTAAGTTTGGCTCTATCTGTCCATCCCTCCATCCACCCACTTTGTTTTCCAAAGTTTAAAATTAGGGAGAGTCATATTCTTAACAAACATGGCATTAATATATAGCTTACTGATAAGAGGCTCATGAAGTTCTCTTTCTCTGTATGTTTGTATGTATATGTGTTTTATAAATCTCCTATCAGCAATTATATGAAGAAGTATATGCATGTTGTACACTTCTATAGTGCATTTCACAATAATTAATGCTGTTCATCAATACAAGTGTATTTCTTGACTGGAACAGTGTTTAATATGCTGTTGAACAAGATGCAGGATTTTTGTAATCTTGTTACAGAATCTTTTCAGATATTTTATGAGATTATAGAACAGTCTTGTATGTTCAGGAACTTGGAAGACACCGAATGAATTTGGATAAAAAATGTGCTGTATAGTTCACGTGATACAGCTCTTCTAAATAATGCCATACATGTGTTCAACTGTATAATAATATGATATACATCATCATGTAATAGATGCCGTGTTGGTAAACACATGCATAAAGGCAACATAGACTTTACATACTGATGAGAATGGTCTTTGAATAGGGCAGAAGGGAAGGAAGATAATTGGCTAGAAATTTATCAACATTTTTGATGGTTGAAAAGGACAAATAAAAAAAAATAATTCCACTACTAAATGTTGGCAACAAAAGTAAGTTCCATATACCATGTTTCCCCGAAAATAAGACTGGGTCTTATTTTCTTTTAGGCTTGAAAATAAGCATTTGGGCTTATTTTTGGAGCGGTCTTATTTTTTTTGATGTGCAAGAGGCGGGGAGCGTGGTCTCCTCAAGGCTGCTGGGCCCCTTAACCGCAGCCTGCAGATCAGCTGAGCCAGCGAGGGCCAATGAGGCAGAAAGCCATGCGGCCTGTCAGAATCTGCTCCTCCCCTCCCGCCTCTCCCAGGCTGCTGCTGCTTGAGAAAAAGACAATTCTGGAAGATTGTGGGTAGCGTGTGCTTACAGTAGAAGCACACCACAACCTGTCCCTTTCAAGCAATCAAATGTCTGTGTGCGTGTTGAGAGAGAGAGAAGGCAAGGCTGTTTGAAAGGGTTTCCTCTCCACCATCTCTCTCTCTCTCTCTCTCTCTCTCCCTCTCTCTCTCTCTCTCTCTCTCTCTCACACACACACACACACACACACACACACACTCTTGATAAGACACAGTGGAGGGCAACTGGGTAAGGGGACTGACCCTCCCCTGCCTTGCAGCACCTCATCTCCCACATGAAGCCAGCTGGGTTCGACCCCCCCCCCGGAGCATTGGCCAGGATCAGGTCAGAGCCACCGCCAGCTGAGATCAGCAGGCCAGACTCAGTGAGCCGGAGGCACTGTGGACGCACCACCACTGCCTTGGAGAAGAGCGCACCGGAGCCCAAACGCTGGGCCTCGCTGGACTCGAAAGCCAGGGATCCTGCAGGCATCCTGGCCCTGTAAAGGCGCCCAAATCCCCGGGCTGTTCACAACTCGAGCGAGCCACACACAGGAGGGGTGGCACCGCTGTGAGGTTTGTCATACCGGCGCAGCCTCTTGGACTAGGACCCTGCAAGGCTTGTTGTGGTATTGCACTCATGAATGGCAGCACTGCCGCGAGCTTCATCACACTGGTGCAACTGGCGTCCTGCTGCGAGCGGCTGCCGCGAGGTTCAACATACCAGCACAGCCGCTCTCAGCAGGACGCCAGTTACACCAGTGTGATGAAGCTCGCGGCAGTGCTGCCACTCGCGTGCCCAATGATACACCAATCCTTGCAGGGTACTGTTCCAAGATGCTGCGCTGATGTGACGAACCTCATGGCGATGCCACTGCTTGCACGCGCAACGCTACAACAAGTCTTGCAGGGATATGTTGAAGTCTCGGAATGGAGCTTTTTTGCAAACAGGAAAATGGGGAGGGGGATTTTCCTACCTGTCATCCTTTCCTCAGTCTGTGCTGAGCTTGAGGAAAGGGTGACAGGCAGGAAAATCTCCCTCCCCATTTTCCTGCCGTTCACAAAAAAGGCTCCATTCCGAGCCTTCAGTATTGCAATACTGGGATGTGCATCCTTTTTTCAAGCGACATTTGATTGCTTGAAAGGGACAGGCTATGCCCGGAGAGGAGGAACGAGAAGCAGCTCCTGGCCCTCACTGGCTCAGCTGATCTGCAGGCCCTGATTAAGGGGCTGAGCAGCCATAAGGTGACTGGGGAAGGGATGGGCTGCCTCCTATGTTGGCCATGTCCACCCCCTTCACTAGGGATTATTTTCGGGGTAGGTCGTATTTTCGGAGAAACACGGTATGTCATAGTTCAAAATTAAATTATACATTACAGTATGATGTTCTTTATTCCGTAATAACAGTACATTTTATAATAATCATTACTGTTGCTTTGGAAGAATCTGATGGGCATTTTAAAAGAGATTCAGTGTTTGATTGATTCAGTTTAAAATATTCTATAAACAAAATGCTCATGATCATATTCTGCGCCACCCCTGCCTTTTTCCTTGTCTCTCCCGGGGTTTTGACTTCAGTACTGTTCACTGCAACTAGAATATGTCATGGTGAACTGAGCAATCCAAATATGGAATATGGATATGGAACTTATAAGGTGCAGCATGTTCTTGGTTGATCTATTTATGATTTGGAAGATAATTTGAGTCATGCTTTAAATCACTAATACAAAATAGGAACTTAAATGCTTTGTTTTCAGTTCAATAATCTGGACTGGGCAAATCTTGTTTCCTTTTGGACTGGATGTGAAGCTGATCTGGATGTGGTATCTGTCATCCATTAATTGATAGAGTTGATTTGATGACATGGCTGGCTACATGGGGGTTCCTCCCAGAGGTGGGATTCACTTACCTTCCCTACCAGTTTGCAAATGTGAGCGCACATGCGCCTCCTCAGCATATGCGCATGGCCTTCCGCGCATATGCGCATGGCCTTCCGCGCATATTCTAATGCTTGTACATTACATCCAGGCGGGTGGGCAGAGCCTCCCGCAGTCACCACTACCGGTTCGCCCGAACCGGACAGAAGCAGCTGAATCCCACCTCTGTTCCTCTCCCTTTTTCATTGCTCCTTGGGTGTCCTTCTTGAAGCTGTACACTCAGTGGAAGAGGAAAAGGGAGACTATTGTATTGCGGACAGAAATTTTACCTGGGATAAAAATAAAAGCCTTTTATCTTCAGTAAATATATATATATATATTTTGCTTTAATTTATATGCCGCCCTTCTCCAGAGATTCAGGGCGGCTTACAATGCGTTAAGCAATAGCCTTCATACTTTTGTATATTTATACAAAGTCAGCTTATTGCCCCCACAATCTGGGTCCTCATTTTACCTATCTTTGAAAGGATGGAAGGCTGAGTCAACCTTGAGCCTGGTGAGATTTGAACTTGCAGTAATTGCAAGCAGCAGATGTTAATAACAGTGCTTTAGTCCACTGTACTATCAGGCTCTTAAAGCAATAGCCTATATAAACATTTTCCATGCAAAAATTTGGCTGCCTTGTTTTTCTAGAAGGTAGTCAAGCACTTCTTGAAATTGTCTGATTATTACACTTCTTTCAGACGATAAGAACGTTCTCCTTGAAAGGAATGACCAGCAAGCTTTTTGGCCAGGAGACACCTGAACAAAGAGAAGCAAAAATAAAGATTCTAGAAGAACAGATACATGATGGAGAAGAACAGCTTAAAGCGAAGAACTTAGAGAGCCGGTAACCATTGCTTGTGCCAATGTGTATATACTACAAGTGATTGTTTTACGGGTGTCCCTGTATATGTTCCAGGTGCTCATGAATATCCCATTATTGGCAAAACAACTCTATACAAAACATTTTGTACATGCTGTAATATAAACTATGAAGGTTGAGCCTACTGGACTATTTCCATAGTTAGCAAGTTTTCTACCTTAATTAAGGTGAAATGTTAGTTCTGTTAAACTTGAGATATATCAAACAATATGTCCCTGGAGACTTATTGCTCAATTCTTTGCAATTATGACATTGCTGGTTAAATGCAACATTTTGTTCTGTCATATTTACTTAATGTTGCCCCTTCCCACTTGATAATTATGATTAAATCTAAAGTTATATTAGTTTAGTAATATTATTGCATATATTTATATGGACCTTTTATTAGTACATTTGTTTTTTTAAAAAAGTTTTAAGTGCATACATTCCAAGCCATCTATATTAAACATTTCTTTGAGAGATTAAGATTTCAAGCAACAATTTGCCAAAAATACTCCTACAAACTAATGAAACAACTCCAGCAATAAGAAAAGCATGTGTTATGATTTCAGTTTGTTTTAAATGTATTTATATAGCTTCAATATGTTGTGTTGATTGCAAAACTGAAATGAAACAGGAGAGTCTAAAATGGAAATAAAACGGCTGAAGAAATGGAGATATTGAGTGATGGTAATGTTGCATGAAATGGATACATAAGAAATTGCAATTAATAGGCAAGAAAATAGCAAGCATTTGGAGAATCACACTCTTGTTTGAATGTATGAATAAACTCATGTCATCAGTCCACTTACTTGGGGCTGGTTCTGTGCTAAGGTGTTTCTTGTTTGCTCTAATTTATTTCAGAGACTTTATGAAAAGTGCTTGGGCTGATATTGAACGCTTCAAGGAGCAAAAGAACCATGATTTAAAGGAGGCGCTGATCAGTTATGCTGTGATGCAGATCAGTATGGCCAAAAAGGTAAGCCTGACAGAGAAGGAATTTCAAAAAAAGAACCAGAATATGAAATGTTAAAATATGAGGTTTTAACATAAATTAATGAAAACCTCAAGAGAGACCTTGTTGTATTGTTTATAGTAGGCTTCTGGCATCTATTTTTATTCCGTGTGGATATAGAACATTCTGTTCATGTTGAATTTGTAAGAATGCTTCCATCATGACATAGAAAAAGTTGATAGTTTTAATAGAAATTGATACATGGATATGTTGCTGGAAATTAATCACTTGTCTACTTGAATGCTTAATTCAAATGCGTATTTTTTTCTTTTTCTGTCTCTTGTTATTCCAGGGAATTCAGGTTTGGACAAATGCAAAAGAATGTTTCAGCAAGATGTGACACAGGAAATTCTGTCCTTCTTGGCGAAATGCTGGAGAACCGAAGCACAAATGCATGAACATGGATGCTAAATTGCCTCATTTACTATATCATGGAATTGGTGTGTTTATGAAACTAGGGCACAAAGAAATGGTCTCTGTTTCTTGATGGCCACCTTGTGGCCTGTTTTGCATGCAGTAGCAAACTGAACTTTGTAATTGTTTTGAGATAAGGCTATAGGAAAGATCCAAGCTGGCTCCATTGATCACATTAATCAAACTATTCAAACTATACCACGAATCTGTACACTATTGTAAATTATTTCCAAGTGCCCCCCTTTTTTATGTTACAGTATAGTAAACACTGTAACTTACATTGTAAACATATGCTGATGAAGATTATTTTGTTCTTTGTTTTCCAAATATAGTGGTACAAAACTAACACCCCCCCCCCAAGTATTGGTAATATTCCACAATATCATACGTTGCACATCTCAGATATGTATCCCATCCCACAAAACTCCCTAAACTTTGTAACACAAGCTTTGGATATTCATTTGTTATATATCAGGGATGTTTCTGAACTCAGAAATTAAAACCAGTAGGAATTACTTATAGAAGTTTTCTGTTTGCCAGCTCAAAACCTCATACAGCTACTATCACTGATCTCAATAAACATGTTTAATATGACCTTTATTCAATATCTCTGAGCTTAAAGCATTTGATTGTTAGTTGGTTTTTTTAATATAATAATGTCCCCTTTTTGAATACTTGAGAACACCAATATGAAATCAAATAGGCTTTATTTGCAATATGAACATGGATTGCTTATACATGTCTTTGCCTTGATTTTGTATAATGTACATTTGTCTAGGTTTCTTTGAAAAGGAGGTGTATAGGATGCATTGTCATCTTTACAATGTGTTCAAAAAAGGAAGATCTTTTTTGCTAGCTTTATATTTCTTATTCCCAGCTGTCAGAAAGCTCTAATGCTCCTTGGCTGCTTTTTTCATAATGATATTTAAGAGATTAATATGGAATGAACACTTAACTGTGAATCTTCATTGAAAAATCATGGTACTCATTTTGTCAAGCATGATTTAACTAGTTTACAGTACACATACTAGAAAGTACTTAATCTGTTTATTTCCTCAAATCAGACCTGCTTTGCTAAGGCCATTATGAAATAATATTTGCAGATAACTTTTTCAGCCTATCATGTAACCTATGAACTTTTTTAAAAGATTAATGATTAATTGTAATTACATAATTATTTCAAACGAAAATCTAGTACATTGAGGTAAATCAACCACATTGTTCCATTTCAGAGAAGTGTAGAATATAGTCCCCAAACTGATAAAACTTTTACATTCCAGAAACAATAAGCAGCAACAAATGTAGACTTTTATAGTAGACTTTTAGAGTAGTTGTGCCTTAATTTAATATCAGTAGGCACTCGGAGTCAATATTTTCCATGCACTTGATCTTCCTAGTGCCTTCCTTCTCTTACCCTTCTTTCATAAGCTGTATAAAATAAATGTATTAGTATGTCTTTTGCTAACTGTATTGAGTTTTGAGAAGGTATCAAAAGGTTTGTGCCAAATATATTTAATAAAACTACCCTTTATTATGTTTTGTTTTTCATATTGATTTTGGATTCTCTTTAATTTGACTTTTTTGTTGGTATGCTTTAAGAAAAACATATTACTGATTTGTAATTACTCATTTTTTGTGATTTAAAAATCTAGTATTTTGCTTTTGGAAGATTTTCAAGCATTTGTTTCTGTTCAGTGATGCTTCATGTTTCTACGGATTTCAGGAAGAAGGTTCTGATTGACATTTGCAGTGATTAAAAAAATGTTTAAAATCTGTTTACTGAAGCACACCAGAAAGTTCTTGTAAAAGTTTACCTCTATCTGAGGTTTCTCTCCAGCCGATTTCTTCTAGTACCCTATGTAGTTTGAGGATATGATTATAGCAAGTAGGCTTTCCAAATTCTCTTGCAGAACTATGAGCATTTTTATGAATAAGTGATATCTGGATGTGCTGCTGTAGTATCTTGTATGATTGACATACTGTCTACTCAATAGAAATAGAATAGGTGAGCATATTTGGCAAGAGAAAGAATGCCTTCTTCTCCATGACATCCTGCAAACCTTCTGATAAGCAATGCACTACATGCAGGAGAGGAATAACATGGTTGAAATGGCTCTCATCCTCCACTTTATCTTAGCTTCATCTTGCACCAGTTGCAGTTTCTCACAATCTTCAAAGGTAACCCGATGTACAATATACTGCAGTGGTCTATTCTGGTAGGGATTAGGGCATGATGAGTTACTGTCACTAGTTCTTGCTCCAGGTAGGGCTGCAACAGTTGCACCAGCTCAAGCTAGGCCATTAAGCATTAGCTGTCAAAGAAGAGATCCAAGTTGCGGACTTATTCCTTTGGAGGACACACTATGCAAAGTAATAACCAGAGCCAACAGAGAATTAGATAGTCTCTGCACAAGCAGCAACGACATCTTGCAGTTCAGCTTGTTTTGTCTCATCCAGGCCTTCACAGCCTCCATGCACTGGGTCAAGACTTCCATGGCATATCTGATCCAGAGCAGTGGACTATAATTGAGCATTACTACCTGCTAAGGAAGGAGCACCACTGCTGCAGAGCCAAGCCTCTGTTAGCCAATCCTTTCATCAGAGGTGAAATCCAGCAGGTTCTGACAGGTTCTGGAGAACCAGTAGCGGAAATTTTGAGTAGTTTGGAGAACCGGCAAATACCACCTCTGGCTGGCCCCAGAGTGGGGTGGGAATGAAGATTTTGCAGTATCCTTCCCCTGCCACGCCCACCAAGCCACCCCATATCCACCAAGCCATGCCCACAGAACCGGTAGTAAAAAAAATTGGATTTCACCACTGCCTTACGCATCATCTGAAAGGACATCATAATCAACAATGAATCAACTCGGAACACTTCCGTCACTCCAGGTTGCACCAAGTGGCCAAGGCAATGTCAGATCCATATCCAGGCCTGAATCCTGACTGAAAAGGATCCATTACCCCTAGGCACTTTAAATCTGAAGCCTACATCAACTTCTGAACATCCCTTCCTAAAAAGGGAATCAAGGTGATAATTGTCTAAAATAATTAGATCCAAGGAAAGCCAGCACACCACCATCTTGTTCAAGACATCTGACTTGCACTTACCAGAGATACTGACCACTTCCTAATCCCTCAGGCCATCTGAAGGCACATCCGTCTAAACTACAGGCCAAAAACATCATATTGAAAAGGATCCTACTTGTCAGAGTCCGCAAGCAGAAATAAATGCTGGATACCTATAAAATCATTGCTTCTGGACCCTAAGATGCAAAGTCACGATTATGGCAAATTTTGCCAATACAATGTGCAAATGTTTCACAACAACCAGGTGATAACTGTTCTTACTCTTTCTTCCCAAGTCTGGGATGTTATGTGGCAAGGGCCTGTCTGTTTGAACTCTTATTACATTTATTTGCATCCTATCTCACATGGGGCAGCTTACAGCAATTTAAAAAAAAAAAGAAAAAGGAAATTTAAACAAAGGGCAAGTAAAATAATAGAATGATAAAACAAAATGCATCAATATGACTAGTAAAAAAGATGGACAAGTGGGGAGCAAAGAGTGGGGAAACCGGACATTTGCAAAATGAACAATGCATGCCTGTATTTGTTCTTATTAATTGGGTCCAAATTAAGTTTTACAAAACAAACAAACATTAGAAGTAGATTTTCAGGATTGCGATAAATAACATCCTATCACTTGTAGAAAGACTAATCTCAAATTCTTTGTGTTCCTTAAGTATCCTGCAAAAGACAGGAAATTTTTCAGACCAGATTTGGGATAAAAAGATAAAGGTAGAATGAGAGAAAAGATAACCTTTTGGGTTGATCCACTTTAATCCAAATTAAAAGTATTCTCAAACTTTTAAGTTTACATATAGTTCCCTGTACTGTTAATTATTTTGAATGTTTTTTAACAATTTGTGAACTGCCCAGGGTTGGTGGGTGTCAGGCAGAATGTAAATTTAATAAATATAATTAAATCAGTCATTGATATTTCCTGATATTTGGGGGTTGTTCCTCCATTCTGGTACTACTTGACCTCTCAGCGGCTTTTGATACCATCGACCATGGTATCCTACTGTGACGGCTCCGGGGGTTGGGAATGGGGGGCCCTGTTTTACAGTGGTTCTCCTCCTACCTCTCGGGCCGTATGCAGTTTGTTTGGGCGGGGGTTCAGAGATCCTCTCCGAGACCCCTCACTTGTGGGGTACCACAGGGGTCGGTTCTCTCCCCCCTGCTCTTTAACATCTACATGAAGCCGCTGGGTGAGATCATTCGTAGTTTCGGGGTGAGGTATCATCAGTACGCTGATGATACCCAATTGTACATCTCCACCCCGGATCAACCCAGGGATGCCCTTTCCGTGATGTCTAAGAACCTGGAGGTGGTATGGGTCTGGATGGGTAAAAACAGGCTCAGACTCAACTCCTCCAAGTCCGAGTGGCTGTGGATCCCAGCATCTCCTGATCTAGTCACCCCGTCACTTTTGATGGGAGAGGAGTTGCTTACTCCCTCTGAAAGGGCTTGCAATCTTGGCGTCCTCCTTGATTCACGGCTGTCCTTGGTGGATCATTTAATGGCCGTGACAAGGGGGGCTTTTGCACAGGTTCACCTAGTGCGCCAGTTGTGGCCTTTCCTAGACAGGGGTGCCCTTCACACAGTCACTCAAGCTCTCATCATCTGTCGGTTGGATTACTGCAACACCCTCTACATGGGACTGCCCTTGTTGTGCACCCGGAGGCTCCAGCTGGTCCAGAATACAGGCGCGCGGGTTTTTACAGGAGCTTCCCTTTAGTCCCGTGCAACTCCTCTCCTGCGCGAGCTGCACTGGCTGCCGGTGGCCTTCCGGATCCGCTACAAGGTGCTGGTACTTACCTATAAAGCCCTTCATGGCATGGGCCCGCCCAGTGCCTTCTCATAGAGCTGCCCTCCTCCAGGTGCCCTCGGCCAGACAATGTCGGCTGGCAACCCCCAGGATGAGGGTGTTCTCTGTGGCTGCACCAACCCTCTGGAATGGATTACCCACCGAGCTCGGGACGGCTCCTGATCTCTGCACTTTCTGCGCTGGCCTGAAGACATGGCTTTTTCAGCAAATTCCCTGACCGACTATGAGGCTTTTAACTTTGGGGATTTTAAATTTGGATTGGTTTGTAGTATTTTATTGTTGTGGTTTTTATTGTGTGAGCCACCCCGAGTCCTACGGGAGAAGTGCGGCATATAAATTTTAATAATAAATAAATATTTCAGATATTGAAATATTAACATCTTTGATATTGAAATATTAACATCTTTGATATTGAAATATTAACATCTTAGATAAACAGCTCTCTGAATATCATAGAGAAGCACTTTGTTAATGAAAGTTTAAAATACTTTAATAATGGAAGTAATGATTCAGATCTAGGTAGTTGTCTATATGGTGTACAAGCAAATCTTTGTTTTCCTTGAACGATTGATTGATCATTGGAAAGAGATAAATCCAAATACATGTTAATGCAGCACAAGTCTCTCCATAATCCCATTCAATAGATTAAAATATGGCTTGAAAAAACTATTTAACTGTGCTTATATGTTAAATTTTCAATTCTTAAGTGAAGCAAAGTTTGATAATTAGAAATTCCTAATACAGCCAGAATAGTATCACTATTTGTACCTGATACATTTTGCTTAGGCAAAAATGTTTATACAGCACCCTCTAGTGAATATACAGAATTTAGCTGTGCAGTCAAGGCTTTTTTATTTAAAAAATAAAGGTCACTTTGGAAGAAAAAGCTAGCATTTCCAGAACCAACAAAATTTGGTCATGTCGCAGATCAGATTTCATCCAATGTAACTTTCTGTGATTGACTATGCATATAGAACTGTAACAACTATAACACCTGAACCTAAGTAATAAGGAAATCAATTTGTATTTTAAAATCTACTCTGTAGTCTGTGGCCTAGTAAACTTTCAAGGCTCTTTCTATTCAAAAGACCAAAGTTCTCAGAGAGGAACATATGGTATGTAACCAATATGTTCCAAAGAGGAAAGTAGGTAGTAATTGCATAGCTATTTTGATTTTTATGTAAATACAGGAATCAACCCCAAATTTTTGCTCAAAGCAGCTTCATCCACATTTTACCAATGATTTTTATTTTCTACAAACATAGTTTCCGCCCCCCTCTTCTACATCCATCGTGTTTTCTCTTGGTATATGGATTTAGAATCTGGCTTGTAAGAGTAGCTGTGGTTGGTTTAATTTCCAAAGAACCTAACAACTGCCAAGGAAAGAAGAGGCTCTTAGTATCAGGTATGTTAAGAGTTGTATTGGGAGGGATTCATGGCTGAAAATTTCACATCTTTTTGATATAAAGATCCATGAAATACAACTACAGTAGCTCCAAATGCCTAGGATTTTGGATTGGTTATTTTTCAGAATGGCCCCTTTCCTGCTATGCCCAACCAGTAAAATACTATGTGAAATTCCAGGGAATTATAAATGTACGTTTTGATTCACTTCAAAGCTTGAATTAAAAAATGTGATGCACATTCCCCTTATTCT